CCCCAAAACCCCAAAACCCCAAAACCCCAAAACCCCAGTTTAAAGTATTTTAATTGAATTAAAATGGAGTCAAGTGATTACAAAGAAGAAGAGAGCTTTAAGATGTTCGAAGGTTACTTCAAGACCTTCACAATGCAGTCAGAAGCTATCGGTGGAAAAATGAAATTTGGAATTTACTTCCCACCTAGCGTTGTTAAAGATCATGAAGAAGACCCTTCTAAAAAGTTTAAAGCCCTCTGGTAAGTCTGGTAGTAAAATGCAATGACTAGAGAAAACACAAAAGCTTAGGTTAGACTCACCACTTTTAGATATTTAATGGTCAACAGCTCTTTTAGTTTCTTGAGCCGTTATCTTAGATATGCTTGATCTTTACCAAAATATCATATCTTCGTAAACACTAAAGTTGGATATAGGTATCTTCACGGATTGACTTGTTTCGAATCATTGTTCTTCCAGAAATGCCCTCTTGGATTAAAGAAAGCAGCAGATCTTGGCCTTATGATGATTTTCCCAGATACATCTCCAAGAGATGCAGGGATAGAGGGCGAGACAGATCACTGGTCATTTGGAGTTGGAGCTGGTTATTATGTTGACGCAACACAAGAACCATGGGCTAAGAACTATAACATGTACAGCCATGTCACCAAAGAGCTCAGAGACCTTGTTGAGAAGCATTTCAACGTGGATCCAGCAAAGCAATCAATTTGCGGTCACTCAGTTGGAGGGCACGGATCTTTGGTCATATTCCAAAAGAATCTTGATAGATATGTGAGTTGCTCAGCTTTTGCTCCCATGACTAACTCCATCAACAGCGGTTGGGGGAAGAATGCTTTTGAGAAGCTCTTCGGAGAGGACAACCTTGACCAATGGAAAGAGTACGATGCTTGTGAACTTGCTGCCGTCAACAAAGGCAAAAACCTAGATATCCTTGTTGACCAAGGAGATAAGGATTGCTTCTACCCTGACTATTTGCTGACTGAGAACTTCAAGAAAGCAGGAGAAGAGAACGGCCACAATTTCTCCATCAACATGAGAGAAGGATATGATCACGGCTTCCCTTTCATCAATACTTTCATTGAAAGCCATCTTGAATATCACGATAAGAAACTTAGTCAGTAAAATTGGATTCAAGTAAAGAACTCAAAAAGGGGTTTTGGGGTTTTGGGGTTTTGGGGTTTTGGGG